CTCCGCAGACAGCGCCTCCTGCGGCGGTGATGGGAACTGCACCTTCCTCCGCCGGAGGGCGCATTCTGAGAAATGGAGACCTAAATACAGAATACAGGTGTGCCGGCTAATAATGCGGATTCTTTTCAATAGACGGAGTCACATACATGTGGATATGTATGCGATGTGATGTGTGTGCTGTTTTGCTGTATTGCTCCCTCGGATGACCACTCGTTCCGACCGACGACACCCGCACTTTCTGAGCAGCGCTTCAAAACGTACGAAGACGTGGGAAATGGGGTCTCTGAATGGTCTGCCTCAAAACAGGAAAAGTTCTACTGGGACGGTCTCCACAAATGACCCGAAAGACGGGGGAAATGTGTAGCCGGCGAGGGACGTGACTTTGAACAAAGCACTTTTGATGTTTCTCTTGAAATTATCGTGTTTTCTTTGATGACAAAATCCGCATTATTACGGTTAATAATGCAGATTAATTATTAACCAGTTAATAGTGCAGACTGGCTATTAACCAGTTAATAATACGGATTGACCATTAACTGCTTACAAATGTGGATACCGGTTAGTAATGCGGATTGGCCCTTTACCGGTCAGTAATGCAATAATTTCAAGAGAAACATCAAAAGTGCTTTGTTCAAAGTCACGTCCCTCGCCAGCTACACATTTCCCCCCGTCTTTCGGTCATTTGTGGAGACCGTCCCAATAGAACTTTTCCTGTTTTGAGGCAGACCATTCAGAGACCCCATTTCCCACGTCTTCATACGTTTTGAAGCGCTGCTCAGAAAGTGTGTGTGCCGTCGGTCGGAACGAGTGGTCATCCGAGGGAGCAATACAGCAACATAGCACACACATCAAATCGCATACATATCCACATGTGTGTGACCCCCTCTATTGAGAAAAACCCGCATTATTCACCTGTGCACCTAAGTAAAGGCTGTGATGTGGGGCATTAGGTTCAGGGACCTTTCCGGTGTGAGGTGTGAGGTGAGGAGCGAGGAGGTGAGGCGGGAATGGGGGTGGAGAGGGGGCTGGGTCAGCCATGGCTGTTTGAGCCAACCTCTTTCCCCCCAAATGCCTGACTTCATCTCTTAGCCTCAGGCATTCAAAGGTAGGGGAGAAGGCACTGAAGTGGGGCGGGCAGTGGGGAGGGTCACACCCGCTCCCACGCCCGCCCACCTGCACGGCCCACCGTCCTGGACGTGGGGAGTGGCCCCCAGGAGAGAGCCCCCATGTGGGAGGGTATTTCCCCCAGATAAGTCCTTCTGTGACTACTGAGAAGGAATCCTGTGAGCTGAGAATGGATAACCTACCCCCCCAAACCCCCCTGAGAAATTAAGGCTGGACATTTAATGGGGGGGGGGGCAGAGGAGTCATTTTCTGTGGATGGACCAGCTCTGGTCTCACCAGTGACTCAGGGATAAAGATGCTCTTCCCCGGCCGGCGTGGCTCAGTGGTTACAGCGTCGACCTAGGAACCAGGAGGTCAGGGTTCGATTCCCGCTCAGGGCACAGGCCCGGGTTGCGGGCTCTGTCCCCAGTGGGGGGCGTGCAGGAGGCAGCCGATCCATGATCCTCTCTCATCATGGATGTTTCTCTCTCCCTCTCCCTCTCCCTTCCTCTCCAAAATCAATTAAAAAAAATACACAAAATAAAACAGAAGGAGGGCGGGGGTCTAGCTGGGGTTGGAATTCACTTTTTAAAAGATTGTCTATTTAAAAAAATAAAATAAAAGGGGAGGGGGCAGTCTCACCTTCCAGACCAAGGCCTGGGCTAAAAGATAAACGGAGACGGAAACCAAACAGAGAAGGGGCTGGAGAGCGGAGTGGACAATTCAGGAGATAACTTTATTGAAATGCAAAAGGGGCACTCAGGCAGGCAGGCAAGTGGTTAGGGGTGATCAGGCAGGCAGGCGAGCAGTTAGGGGCATCAGGAAGGCAGGCAAAGTAGTTAGGGAAAATCAAGAAGTCAGGCGAGTGGTTAAGGGTGTGGGGGCAGAGGGCCCAGATTTTGGGGTGGAGGGCGGCCCTTCAGCGGGGCCCTGGGCGAGGATTTAACTTTCAACCAATTTGTGACATAGAACGAATTCCTGGGGGGCAGCCCGGCTCCCGTCATGATTGTTCCCGCACTATATACATCGCTCTGTTGCGTTCTCTACAGTCGATAGAAAATAAAAGGGGGGAGAGTGCAAGAGGAGGGTCAGATGAGAAGAAAACATAAACACACAGACACGCACACGGCCTGGTTTGGGTTTTCTCTGCCCAATAAATTAAAACAAAACAAAACAAAACAAATAAAACAAAAGGGTTCCCCCTGAGGAGCACCATGCATTTGAGAAACAGACTCCATTGCGTGAACAGTGCGGCCTAAGACAGGGGAGGGAGGCGACGGCACCGCAGCAGCCAAGACTGGAGGGGACAGGGGGGCTCCTGCCTCATCACCAGACACCTCGTCCCAGAGAAATGGCAGAGAAGCGGAGGGTCCACAGGGGGTGCCTGGAGGGCCTGGCGTTGGCCTTTGGTCCTCGGGTCCCGGTCCCCCCCCCTGAAAGGCCGGGTTCCGGAACTCTGAGGCGGAGTCGTAGCACGCGTCTTTGTCCCCTCCCTCGAGCCCGCTCGCAGGGAAAACTGGTCGGCACGCTTCCAAACAGAACGGGGTATACGTAGGAGTTCATCTCCCCCGGGACCCCACCAGCTAGACTCTGCGAGTTTGGAAAGATACCACCGTCCCTTTCTATAAAGGATTTTACTCTGTCGCCAAGGCTGACGCGTTCTGGATCCAGGCCCTGGTGTGGGGAAAAGGAGACGTGTGGGGTCCTAGCTCCCAGTACTGTCCCTTCATCGTGCCGAACTCTGTCCGGGAGCTGAGCACGGTGAGAGTGGGGGCCTCTCTGGGGTCCCCGGACCTGGGGAAGGGGGCTCTGGCCAGGTCCTCAGGCTCACATGAGGGCTCAGAGTGGACACACACTCCACCCAGCAGGCTGATGGGCCTGCCCTGAGCTGGCAGGGACCCATTTCAGGGCCCCGCAAGCTTCCTGGGAGGAGAGAGGTAAACACTTCCCTAAGTCCCTCCCCGCAAAGCAGCACACGCCCCTTTCCTTCCCGTGTTGAATGCAAGGAGACACACACACACACACACACAGACACACACACACACACACACACAGACACACACACACACAGACACACACACACACACAGACACACAGACACACACACACACGGCAGCACGAGAAAGGGGACTCGGGAATGAATGTTAACGTCAGAATGATCACCCAGGGCCCTGGCTGGCCCTCTCCCGTCCTCTCTGTAAAAAATCAATAAAGTATATTTATATATTTTTTTAAAAAAACAAGTCCACTCACTCCTGTGAGCACTTTCTTCGTAAAACATTCTCCCGGCCCGGCCGCGGGGAAAACCAGCCGGCCCGGCCCTGGGCGGACCGTCCACACTGTTCATTTCCCACGGCACTGCCTCCCTGCAGCCTCGGCATTTTGATGGGTGTCCTCACGTGGAGGCCCCACCGTCTCCCAGTTTACCTTCCGCTTTGCCAGGCCCAGGCCAAGCGCACGCGCACACACGGACCCTCTCCGTGGGGGGGCGGGGGAGCAGGGACCAGGTGGTGGCCCCACAGGTCCCCGATCAGGTTGACTGAGGACTCGTGAAGATATAAAGTTGATGCAGCCCGGCCGGTGTGGCTCAGTGGTTGAGCGTCGACCTATGAGCCAGGAGGTCAGGGTTCGAGTCCCGCTCAGGGCACAGGCCCCGGTGGTGGGCTCCATCCCCAGAGGGGGGCGTGCAGGAGGCAGCCGATCCATGATGCTCTCTCGTCATAGATGTTCCTCTCTCTCCCTCTCTCTTCCTCTCTGAAATCCATTTTAAAAAATATATTTGAAAAAGGAAAAAGACAGTGGTACGAGGGCTCAGAGACAGGGATGAGCACCGTAGAGCTGCCACAGGGCACAGGTGAGTCGAGGTACCTCACGGAGCCTCAGGAGACAGGAAACAGCGACAGCAAAGGGCTCCTGTGACACACACGCATGTACACACATGCACACGCACATACATGCATGCACACACATACACATACACACACACACAGACATCGGGTCCCATGCTGGCCTCCAATCACTGGGTGTTTTATTGTTAATGCCCAGGCAGGTTCGAGACACAGATACACTGAACAGAACACGTTGGTCGTCTTCGTCCGGGAGGGCGAGGAGCTGTGCGGAGGGGTCCCCCTCAACCCCCTGCCCCCCCAGACGGTGGCCGTCCCTGGTGGTCGTCGGGGATGGAGCCATGTGGTCTGTGAGCCAGCTTTGGTGAGGACGGGAGCTGAGGGGCTGGAGGAGGGGAGAGCACAGATACCAGTCTCAGGGCAGGGCTCCATTTTCCTGAAGGGCCTGGAGGGGGTGCGTGTGTGAGAACTTAGCGGTGGGACCCCGTGCTTGTTTCTGGAGGGGTCCCAGCAGTCTCCACCGAGAAGCAGGTGCGTGGGCAGCGAGGGGCGCTCAGGTGTTCTGCTCCGGGGAGCCCTGGGTGAGCGTCCTGGGGGTTATAGCACCAGGAGGAGGCTGCACGCCCGCGGTGGCCATGCGGTTCCTTGAGGGGACGACCGGCCCCCCAGCGAGGAGCCCGGGTGCAGGACTGTAAACAGGTCCGGAGGGAACAGACTGTTGGGAGGGAGCGGTGGAGACCTGGGAAAAGACAGCAGCCAACTGAGAGTGGGGGTCAGGGGGTGCACCCAGGAACGGAGACGAAAAGTCGGAACACGAGAGGCCTCGGGCATCCGCCGGCCGAGGATCCGAGTGATGAACGGCACGGTGGTCCCCCGGTTACCAGGGAGACCGGGGTCCCTCTGGGGGGCCGGTTCTGAGGCAGCTGGAACGGAGGAAGGCTTCTCCCTTCCCGTTTCTCAAGGCGCCAGGAGCACCCCCGGGAGAAGGCACTGGCTGGGCAGCACCAGGAGATGGAGGGAAGGGCTCTGCCTGCCCCCGACAGAGGTGGCGCCTCGATTCGCCAGTCGGAGCCCGGCCAGGGGACTGGAGCTGGCACCGAGTTCAGAGGAGGCCCAGGTGCCCAGGAGGCCGGTCTGGTCTTCCCTTCCTCCCAGATGGGATCTTCTGGGCCCCGAGGGCCTCCCGGTTCCACAGAGCAGGGGCCTTAAGGCAGCGACGTCAGCACCATCCCCGGCCAAGCAGCTCCGTCCGGCCGCAGAACTGCACGTGCCACGGCCGGGCAGGTGGGGGGGTCCCCGGGTGTCTTTACAGCTCGCGGACCGGGCAGCGACCGTCTCCGGCACAGAGGACCCCGACGCCCCCGGGGGCACCTGGGCAGGTGGCAGTAGACACGTCCTGGGGCACCCGCCTGGGGCTCCGCCTGGACTGAAATGAAAATACTCCGACGTGAAGATTCGGATGCATGAGATGCACCGACGCCTCGCGGGGAGGCAGAGGACCCGGCCGGCGTGGCTGTGGATTTCCGAGGCTGTGGTCTTGTGCGCGGGAAGGTGGAGAGCGGGCGCGTGGGCCCGAGGAGCCCCCAATGCGACGCCCCCAAGCAGAGCTCCCCACGTGCGCACGAGAGAGAAGCAAGATTCCTAGCCCTTCAGGCCTGTGGCAGCGGATCCGGGCTCTGCTCTGGTCTTCGGCTGCCCCTGAAGGTCCAGGGGGAGGGGACGTGCCCAGGTCTCGTCTTCCTTTTAAAACTGCTCGGCGAGTGCGCGTTGGATGAGTGAAGGAGACGGCCCGGCCTCCAGGGCAGTGGCGGCCCAAGGCGGGTCCCTCTGTGGGAGCGCCTCCCATGGGCGTCCGGTTGCGTGAGCACTCGCCCATCGCAGAGTGAAGGCGGGCGAGGGAGGTGGGACAGAGCGGAGGGGCCCGGTGTCCTGGCTTCCTGGCGTCCACGGTGAAGCCGTCAGGATGGGGAGTCGAATTCTCGTGCCGCCGGCCGGCCGTCCATCGAGCAGCCCACCTTCCTCTCCTCCCACGGCTGTGAACTGGGGCTCCTGGGAGCCCCCAGGAGGCCGAGGACGGAGCAGGGCAGGTGCCCGGCCGGTGGGTCAGATGTACCGAAGGAAACCCGCCCGGAGCAGCAGCCCGAGGAGCGTCTGGTGACCGTGTGAGCAGGTGGGAAAGAAAAAACAACAGCCAACAAACCAAAAGGAGAAAAGGAAAATAAATAGGCAAACGGGAGGGGAAAAACCAAACCAAACAGAAACAAAACCAAAAACTAAAAACTAAAAAAGTAGGGTTTATTGGTGCTCGTGTGCGTGAAAGGAGAGGGCTCAGGACTGAGCGCCGTCTGTCTCCGAAGGCTGTGATGTCACGGCGGGAGGCAGTGATGTCACGGTGGGAGGCTGTGATGTCACGGTGGGGGGTGGGTCTGGCGGCTTCTGAGCCCGGCACCTGCTTCCTCTCTCCAGCTTCATCTTTGCCATTTTTTTTTTAAAAAAACCTTTTACAGATTGACTTAAACATTTTTTTTCTTTTAAACCACATGCTTCTTTTTCTGGGCTCCAGCCAGATCTCGGGGGGCGGGGGCGGGAGCGTTGGCAGTGGCGTTGGGTCCAGAGGGGTGTTCCGGAGTCCCGGGGCCGCCGCCTCCTGGATGTCCCCGTGGGACCGTCTTTCTCAGAGATGCTCCCGAGAATCACGTGGGCTTGGCGGACGCGTCTGCCGTCGTCCGAACGTCCCCAGCGAGCCCAGGGGTCCCTCACTGAGACGGGGAATGACGGAGAAAGACCCGGCGTCATCCTCTCGTCTTTTCCCCAAAGTCACGAGAGGCGGCCGGCGAATGGATGCTGGGGACACGCGTCCCCCGACGCCGCCCGCCGGTCCTTGCCGTAAGTTCTCAAAGGTGCAGCACCGAGGAACCCTCCGCCTTCCTGTGCCTCCACCCCCTCCCCGGGGGCTCTCCACGGAGAGACACAGCTGGGGGAGAGGAGGGCGGAGGGGTGCGCACAGAGCCGCTGCCAGCGTCCGTCCTGCCGTTTGCCCGTCCGTCTGTCAGTCCGGGGTGACAGGGCCCGCGGGGCCCTCAGAGTGTGGCCTGGAGGTTGGGGTCCAGGATGGTCTCTCGATCTGGGGACTCGATGTAGTTGGCAGCCTCTTGCAGCTTCAGCAGCATGGCCATCTGAGAGGGGCAGAGAGAGGGACTCGTGAGGGCGGGGACGCCGTCCCGCCCAGAGAAGGGGGTGGAAAAAGTCTCCATGTTGCCCTGGCCGGGGTGGCTCAGCTGGTGGGGCGCCGACCTATGAACCAGGAGGTCACCGTTCGGTTCGATTCCTGGTCAGGGCACAGGCCCGGCGACCCCTGCACCAAAGGATGGCCGGTTTGATTCTGGGTCCGGGCTCATGTTGGGGTGCAGGCTCAGGCCCGTACCCCCCAGAGCCCCGCCCATCCTGCTCCCCCCACCGCCCTCCGCCCTCAGGGAAGGTGGGGAGGCATCCATCCTGGCACACTCTCTCGCTCTGACCTCAGGATGCTCCCCACTCACCAGAGGGTCTGACTCCAGAGAACTTGGGGTGCAGTCTTTGACTGTCCTGTCCTCGGGGGGCGAGGCGATGCTGTGGGGGCCCACGGTGGGCGGGGGCAGGTGGTACAGCTTGGACTGGTCCTGCTGGGCCGAGGGCCAGGGGAGCGTGTCCCGGACCCACTCCACTGGGTCCTCCCAGGCGGCTTTCTGTCCGTGGACCTGGGGAGGAGGAGAAGGAGAAAGGGGGGCGGGGAGAGGGACCCCCGGATCAGAGGCACGGCCATGCAGTCTCCCGGGGGGGCCGGTCCTGCCCCGGACGCACACCCTGAGCTCCGACCCCATGGAATTTTCTCCGTGTTCCCCAACGGGGGAAGGAGGTGGGTGCGAATCGGTAAAACCGTTTTGGCGGACAAACTGGCAGGTGGCATCGGGACCTGTAACGCGCAAACCTTATGACCCCACAATTGTACTTTCCAAGAAGGAAACTTTCAACTCAGAAATAAACGCTTTTAAATTTTTTTTGGATTTTGTCCGGCCGGCATGGCTCAGGGGTTGAGCGTCGACCTGTGAACCAGGAGGTCACGGTTCGATTCCCGGTCAGGGCACGTGCCCAGGTTGCAGGCTCGATCCCCCAGTAGGGGGTGCAGGAGGCAGCTGACCCATGATTCTCTCTCATCATGGATGTTTCTCTCTCTCCCTCTCCCTCCCTCTCTGGCATCAATAAAGATCTATACTTTAAAAAAGAGAAAAAAAGAAGAATTTCTGCCGCCCTGGGAGGGGACGGCCTGAGCCCGGGCAGGGCGGGGCCGCGGGCAGGGCTCACCTTGAGGCCGTCCTTGGCCCCCTCCTGCAGGTAGGGGATGATGGAGTTGTTCCACAGGTCGATGAACCAGGTCCGGAAGTCCTCGATGCCGATGGGGCAGGACAGGAAGAAGCAGGGGCCTAGGAGAAGCGGGGGGCTGTGGAGGGGCCGAGCGCCCGGCCGTCCCGGCACCTGCCTCTCTGACGCCCTCACACCAGGCCGGGGACAATGGGCGTTCCAGGGGGGGGCCATTCTGAGGCTGCTCCAGAGCGGGGGGCAGGGAGGGCTCGGCCCGCTCTCTCCTGGACCCTCCCAGGCCGGGCCGGGTGAGGGAGTGAGGGGGTGAGGGAGCCCTGAAATCCCCAGGACGCCCCTCCCGTGTTCCATCCGCCGTGGGGGACACAGAGGGAGGGGCTGGGATTCTGGAGGCTGGCGGATCCACCCAGAGCACGGGGCTAACCGAGCTAGGACAGCTCCAGTCACTCGGAGGTTCTAGCCTGAAGGTTGTCATGCCGCCTCGGCTGCTGTGATGCCCAAGACCCCAGGGAGGCCCAGCTGGGCGGGGCTCAGGGGTTGAGCACCGGCCCAGGAACGGGGAGGTCACGGGTTTGATTCCCCGTCAGGCACATGCGGGGCTGTGGGCTTGATGCCCAGTGGGGGGCGGGCAGGAGGCAGCCGGTCCATGATTCTCTCTCATCATGGATGTTTCTCTCTCTCTTCCTCTCTGAAATCAAGAAAGATACGTTTAAAAAAAGAAAAAGGGCCCGTGAAAAAGGGGAGCTCCTCACATGCCTCTGAAGATGGTGGTTGCCAGATGCAATCCAGGCTGCATATTTTCTGGTTTACATCTATTGGTTTGCACCCTTCTCTGGAGATCTCTCTGTTCAACTGTTCTAAACAGGAGTCCTGAGAGTCACTCTGATTGGCTAAGTTTAAGAT